CAGGCCGCCGCCCCTATAAAAACCCTCTCCGGCAGCTGCTGGGTGCAGCTCAGCTCCCCTCCCGCCTGGGTTGCCCGCAGATCCCAATAAACCTGGACTCGGCTTAACAACTCCTCGCTCTCATTTGCTTCGGGAAGGGTCTCTGCGGGTCGCACAGTTTTGTTTTGTTTTGAGACAGAGTCTCACTCTGTCGCCCAGGCTGGAGTGCAGTGGCACACAATCTCAACTCACTGCAACCTCCACCTCTCAGGTACAAGCAATTCTCCTGTCTTAGCCTCCCAAGTAGCTGAAACTACAGGCACATGCCACCATGCCAGGCACAGAGGAGGTGGGACCAGGCTGTAGCCCCCTCATGCTCCCAGTTCATGTGAGGAGCCCCAGGAGCCTCCAAGTCACCTTCCGTCTGTGTCTACCTGCATCAGTGAATGGCCTGAACCACACTGGAGCCCCTGGAGTCACAGCACTGCCTCCCGACGTCTTAGGTAAAAGGTACTGTCCTCCTCGGGGAGCCCAGCAGACCTTACCCAGACATTGGGTGGTGGTCTGCTGGCTACCTTTCACTCTAGGGGACCCACTTCATGCCCTAACTTCTCTCATTCATGCTCAGAGTCAGAGGTACCTCATGAGCCAGAGCAGACATGAAGCTTAAAGATGTGTTCAGTTTGACCAATAGTATTTACACACACACACACACACACACACACACACAATGTTTAAAATTGCGAAGTTTTGCTGGGCACGGTGGCTCATGCCTGTAATCCCAGCCCTTTGGGATGTCAAGGCAGATAGATCACGAGGTCAGGACATTGAGACCATCCTGGCCAACATGGTGAAACCCCATCTCTACCAAAATACAAAAAATTAGCCAGGCATGGTGACGCCTACCTGTAGTCCCAGCTCCTCAGAAGGCTGAGGCAGGGGAATCACTTGAACCTCGGAGGCGGAAGTTGCAGTGAGCCTGGCAACAAAACGAGACTGTCTCAAAAAAAAAAAAAAAAAATTGTTAAGTTTCACACTGAAAGACATATTGCCAATCTCTCTTGGGGAACCAGAAGCTCTGGCCATACTGGGCCCATCTTCCCAGTTGGCAGCCAAGGCTAAAGCCGAGTGGCCATGATGTCCCCTGGTGGAGGGTAAGCTCTGGAGCGCCCTAGTCCCCACCACCCCCTATTGCCTCCCTGTGCTTACTTCACCTGCCTGCCCCCCAAAGACATCTGAGTGCCAATCCCTTAGGATTGATTCTGTGACCTTACCCTCTGCCTCCTGCCCTGCCCAGTCCCCGGGGATCACGGGGGACAGTGCCCAGCCTATGTGAAGCTAGCAGGGCTATGAGAAATAGGCCACTAGGATGGAAACTCAGGGGTCTCTTCCAGACTGTTTGTGTGGACAGCTGTTCCCAGTGACCCAGGTCAGCTAAGAACGTCAGGCTATCTGCCTCTCCAGATGAGGAATCTGTCTGCATCAGTCCCCTCAGCCTGAACTGAGCCCTCTCTCCCTGGTTGGGGCCTAAGTGTGGGTACTAACGCTCATTTTCATCATTCATGTTCCTTGGTGCTTAATGGGGCAATGGCATTTAGCCAAAAGGCACCTGAGACAGGTGGAAATGACCTCTCCTGCCCCTTCCCTCCCCTCGAGGCTGCTGCCCACATCCACATGGCCCTTTGGGGAGACTTAGCTCCCCCGACTCACTACCAGGACCACTGCCAAGGAGGAGAATCAAAACCCTACGCTGCCTTCAGCCCCCAGGCTTCTAGGAAAAAGCCCTAGAACAGATTCGGAGGCGACACTTTGCTGCCTTGGTGGTGAGCTGAGATGCTGGTGCCGCAATGCAAGAGACAAGAAATGAGCAGCAAAAAGGGGAGGGAGGTGGAAAAATTAAATTTTGCCTGATCAGCAAGGTTTCAAACAATCGCTCGCCAACTGAAGTGGGTGCCACGTCTATAAGTCATTCTGTTTTATAGACCATTAGGATCTCCAGAGAGAAGCTGCATGGAGACCACTGCTTTTTGTTGAAATTAAAATGTCAGAGAAAAAGAAATAGAACAAAACAGGGAATCTGCAATTAATTACCAGGCCATAAAAATTCAATAATCAGGAAGCAGAGCGGCCATGGGCCCAGAGGTATCAGAGCCAGTGTAACAAGAATGGAATACATTAATCTTTTCAAATTAGTTTTTTAATCTGACGAGGATATATGGTGACATGCCTCCCCTCCCCGCCCGCTCCCCTTCAACCTCCACCGCTCAGGCCTAAAGCCAGGCTGTGGGAGGGAGGTTCAGTTTGAGCTGGGGACCTGCAGCAACCTGGACCCCCGGGCTGCAGGGAAAGGGCTGTCCGCGGCCCCAGCTGAGGAGCCAGGAAGGCCTGTTCCCCTTGGATCCCAGGGTACAAGGGAGTGGGAAGCCCGTTTCCTCTGTTGGCTGGGGGGTCTGGGCGCTGGTCTCTGAGCTTTCCTGCTCTGGAAAATGGAAACAAGATCACAGGTGCCCCCGGACCTTGGATGCCTTGTGCCTGGTGGCCAGCAGGTCCTCAATAAAGGGCACCCTGCTGTTACTATTTTTACTCCTGGCAGCAAAGAGTGCTGCCGGGCAGCACCAGAACTCTATTCAAGAGCATTTATTAGCACCTGCTGTGTGCTCAGCCCTGGAAAGGAGAGACCAGCAGCCTCCGTCCTTATGCTGGAGAATGAGGCTCACGGTCAAGTCAGAGGCCAAGCAGGAGTAGAGGGCCAAAGAGTAAAGGGCAATGAGCTTGTCCTCATGCAGGGGTGCTAGCCCAGTGGCAGGTCCCAGGAGTGCCGAAGTGGCAGGCTCAGTCCCCACACAGCCATGTGTTCCAGCCGCAGCCGGCTGATTGATCAAAGGACCAGCCCCACCCCTGTCTCTGATTGGAGGCCGTGCCCTCCTACCCAGAGCCTCGCTGTAGAGCTCTGCCTCCTCCTGCCTCACCTTTGCTAGGCCCAAGATTCCTGCAGCTCAGATCACTTCAAGTTTCTGGCCTTCGGCCTCAGCCAAGCCACTCTCTCATTAACCCCTCAACAAGCCAGCCTCTGGGCCTCGCTCAGGCTGAGCTCCTCAGTGGAGCTCAATGTCTAGTCAAGGTTGTTAAAATGGACTCTTGGCTGGGCATGGTGGCTCCCGCCTGTAATCCCAGCACTTTGGGAGGTTGAGGCAGGCTGATCACAAGGTCAGGAGTTGGAGACCAGCCTGGCCAATATAGTGAAACCCTGTCTCTACTAAAAATACAAAATATTAGCTGGGCGTTGTGGCAGGCGCCTGTAGTCTCAGCTACTTGGGCGGCTGAGGCAGGAGAACCGCTTGAACGGAGGTTGCAGTGAGCCAAGATCAGCCACTGCCCTCCAGCCCGGCACCGGGGTGGTGGGGTGGGGGAAAGGACTCTTATAGCCTCCGCCCCAGGGAACATCTGCAGAGCAGCAGGCAGATGGCCGTCTGCCCTTCTGACTTCGACTCCTTTTAAAGGTAACATGACAGCTCACTAAACGCCAGGCTCCACATAAGTCCTCCGCCTGGATTTTTTCATTTGGTCCCACGGGAGGTTGGGATTATTCATAATCCCATTTCACAGAGGCAAAAGTCGTGAAGCTTAGGTCACCCGCCAGTTGTATGTGACCTGAGTTGCTGAAACCAGCTTCACTAAGAATACCAACCAGAGGCCAGGCACAGGGGCCCAAGCCTGTAACAAATAAATAAATAAATAAAATAAATTTAATTAGCCGGGCACAGTGGTGACTGCCTATGGTCCCAACTACTTAGGAGGCTGAGACAAGAGGATTGCTTGAGCCCAGGAGCTTGAGGCTGCAGTGAACGGTAAACTTGCCACTTTACTTTAGCCTTGTCAGAGACCTTGCCAAAAAAAAAAAAAAAAGAACAACAAGGCCAGTCACGCTGGCTCAGGCCTGTAATCCCTGCACTTCGGAAGGCCGAAGCAAACAAATCACTTGAGGCCAGGAGTTCAAGACCAGCCTGGCCAACATGACAAAACCTGTCTCTACAAAAAATACAAAAATTAGCTGAGTGCGGTGGTGTGTGCCTGTAATCCCAACTACTCCAGTGGCTGAGGCAAGAGAATCACTTGAACCAGGAAGTGAAGGTCGCAGCAGTGAGACCAGATTGAACCACTGCATTCCAGCCTGGGCAACAGAGCAAGGCACAGTCAAAAAAAAAGGAACAACAAAAACAACCACGACAGCGTCTTTCACTTCCTCTGGAGTTTGGCGCATGGTAGGAGTTGAATCAGTGCTCTCTGGAAAGTGTTTCAGCAGAACAACCTTGCAAGGGGGCCTCACCGGCTTTCTCCCCAAGATACCTTCATTCTAACCTACGAATATAACAGCGACTGCCACTTATGTATTGTGCTGCTGTGTGCAAAGCTGTGGGATCTGGTGTCTTTTAGGGTAAGATTGTGGGCCCCATTTTACAGGAAGGAAACTGAGGCTCAGAGAGACTGGCAGGCCCAAGAGCAGACACTGATATCCATCTGGCCCCAAAGGCAGGACTTTAACAGCTAAGAATATGGTCTCAGTTCCACATTAACCAGGCCCACTCCAGGTCTCCTGAACCCCAACTAGACGCTGCGTGCCCTCAAACCAGATCCCTCACTACTTCAGCCTGATGCTTTGGGGCATCTTGCCCAGGAGGCCTTCCCCCTTTAATCTGTATCATTTGTACTTGTGACTATCTTGTAACTTACACTCCATACACAATCCACATACTCCCCAAGGGGCCTCAGCATAAATGGTGGCGAGAAGAAAAAAGCATAGGCAGGAGGGCAAAGGACGCAGGCCCCTGGACTGCGGGCATGGGCGGGAAAATTCAGATCCAAGTTCTTGGCCTGCTACCCGCAGGGGCGCAGTTCCCCAAGCGGCCACCAGATCGCGCCCGGCTCTCTCGGGTGGGGCTTGCACTAAGGCTGTGTGGCCGCCAGATGGTGTCCGAGACCGCGGCTCCGAGGACAGTGCCCCCCCCCCCCACAAGGCGGAGCCCAGCGGGTCCGCGAGTCCGAGACCTGTCCCAGGAGCTCCAGCGCACGTGACCTACCGCCACCTCCTGCTCGCGCCATGACCCAGCCAGTGCCCCGGCTCTCCGTGCCCGCCGCGCTGGCCCTGGGCTCAGCCGCGCTGGGCGCCGCCTTCGCCACCGGCCTCTTCCTAGGTGAGCAGGACCGGGACCCCGCGGGCGAGCGAGTGGGCGGGCTCAGAGGAGGGCGCAGCGCCGCTCAGGTTAACTCCTGCGGCCGCGGAGCCCCGGGACCTGACCCAGCACCCTCTCCCTGAAGGGAGGCGGTGGCCCTCATGGCGAGGCCTGCGAGAGCTGCGCCTGCTTCCCCCCGAGGACAGTCCCCTGTGGCAGTATCTGCTGAGCCGCTCCATGCGGGAGCACCCGGCGCTACGAAGCCTGAGGCTGGTCAGTAGGGCTCGGGGCGGGAACGGGCGTCCACCTCGGGCCCGGGGGGTCCCACGTGGCTGTGTGACCTTGGGCTGGGCCCTGGCCCTCTCTGGGCTTCCGGCTTCCCCGGGCTGGGTGCGGTGGGCGTTCCCGGAGGGCCCTTCCCCCAGACCACGCCCAGAACGGCTCCCTTGGGGGCTTGGGACCCCAGGACGGGGGTGGGTGACCGACAGGGCTGGTACCGCCCTCTCCCTTCACGCAGCTGACCCTGGAGCAGCCGCAGGGGGATTCCATGATAACCTGCGAGCAGGCCCAGCTCCTGGCCAACCTGGCGCGGCTCATCCAGGCTAAGAAGGCGCTGGATCTGGGTAGGGGCACGCGGCCGGGATCCCGGAGGGCCTCGGCTGCCGGGCTGACCCCCACTCTGGACTGAACCCGTCTGTGTCCCCGTCCCAGGCACCTTCACGGGCTACTCCGCCCTGGCGCTGGCCCTGGCGCTGCCCGCAGATGGGCGCGTGGTGACCTGCGAGGTGGATGCGCAGCCCCCGGAGCTGGGGCGGCCCCTGTGGAGGCAGGTGAGCGCCCGCGCCGAGCCCCGCAGCCCCAGGCGAGGGCGCAACGGCTGACCCGCTCCCTCCGCAGGCCGAGGCGGAGCACAAGATTGATCTCCGGCTGAAGCCCGCCCTGGAGACCCTGGGTGAGCACCGACGTGGAAAGGGCTTTGTGGCCATGCAAACGGGGCCGGTGGGCCCAGCTGTGACCGGGCCTGCCGGGCGGGTTAAGGGCAGGACCGGCGGTCACAGCGCCCAGGCCGGCCTGGGAGGGGGATTAGGGCCGCCGGGGGCAAAGACTCAGCCCCACCTGCCCTCCCTCTCCCGCAAGACGAGCTGCTGGCGGCGGGCGAGGCCGGCACCTTCGACGTGGCGGTGGTGGACGCGGACAAGGAGAACTGCGCCGCCTACTACGAGCGCTGCCTGCAGCTGCTGCGGCCAGGAGGCATCCTCGCGGTCCTCAGAGTAAGGGATCCACGGCGGGGGAGGAGAAAGCTGTCCCTCTCGGGCCGGGTCCCCGTCTTTTCCCCTAACTCCTTCTATACCCCAAAGCCCCACCCAGTCCAATAGCGTAGGCTCCACCCACTGCGGGGCTCTGGTCCCCTCCCGCCAGGGCACCTCCCTCTGAAGCGCGCCTCCCTCGGCCCGACTGGCCCCGCCCTCTTGAAACCCCGCCCCCCGCAGGTCCTGTGGCACGGAAAGGTGTTGCAACCTCCGAAGGGGGACCTGGCCGCCGAGTGTGTGCGGAACCTAAACGAACGCATCCGGCGGGACGTCAGGGTCTACATCAGTCTCCTGCCCCTGGGTGATGGCCTCACCTTGGCTTTCAAGATCTAGGGCTGGCCCCTAGTGAGTGGGCTTGAGGAAGGGTTACCTGGGAACCCCAGGAATCGATCGAGTTTTAAATTCGACAATAAAGTGGGGCTTGGGACCTCCTGAGCCTCCGTGTGTGACGCTGGATGGGGAAAGGAGGGAAGGCCCAGCACAGGCAGCTCCCTTCAGCGAAAGGGGCCTTGAGGTTCTTTCCCTCCCTGGCGCCAGGTCTGGTCTTACTGCGGGAACCTCCAGCTGGCAGGAGGCAGGTTATAAAGTTTTAATTGGCCTGGCCATGTGTAATGGCCAGAGACCTCAGCTCCTCGGGCTTGTCTCCCTCCTACATCTCTCCCTCAGGACAGACGAAACTCTCTGGTTCCGTGCAGCTGGGACTGGTGGGGGCCCTGTCTGGGAACTGATAACAGGAAAGAGGATTGAAGGGGACCACGGGTGTCACTTGTGTGCTTTTGTAGGTGATGCTGGTTCTGCTGGCGGCTTGCTCATGTCTTCACAGCAGAGTCGGCTCCCTAGCCTCACCTCTTCAATGAAGGCCCTGGTCAGGGGACGTCACCTCTGAGAGCTAGGCCAGTTGGCCTGGACCCGAAGACCTCAGGGTTGACTTATTTATCCTGCCCTCTCCTTGAAATTCTGAAGGAAAGTGAGGGGGATCACTGGCCAGGGAGGTATAAAGTAGACTGGCCCATAGATAACGGCAGTTACCACACTCCAGATGAAGAGAACTTCAGGCTTTCCTGAACCTCTGCCTATGAGGGAAGGTGAAGGAACCAGGCCTTGTGGAGCACCTTCAACCCAGGTCCTCTGCTTCTCATTTAAATTTCCCCAACCCCACAGATCTTATCTCCACTGACAGATGAAGGTCAAGTTCTTTCCACTGATACTGCCTCAGGCAGAAATGCCATTAGCCTAGCATTCAAGCAGCCTTTGCCACTACCTGGTAAGCCCCAGTGGTGGAAGGTGCCCCTGGAGACTCCTGGAAGCAGGGCTAAAAGAGCCCCACAAGCTCACAGCTCCTGGGACATACTTTGCATTTTGGACAATACGGGACCCTGGCCGAAACCTACCCTTTTCCAACTCATAAAAGCATATTAGGATGCACGAGTGAAGAGGCTGAATTTAAGCAGAACCTTGACAAACAGCTCACTCACTTGTGCCACACCTCAGTCCAAATTACTGTAGCCACTGCCCAAAACCACCCATTAGCTAAGAGGCAGCAGTCCAAATAACTAGGATTTCTCTTTGGGGGACCACCAGCAGTGGTTCTGCAGACCAGCAGGGATTAGTTACCTGTGGGTCTACTTCACACAAGAGTTGCTTTCAGGCATAGCCTGCATGGACGTCTTTTCATGTTTCTTTTACTTTGCAATAGGTCCTGACTGAAGGCTGGCTCAGATTCTAACCTTGTCGCTTGAGTCTTATGTGTCTGAAGGCCTTTCAGAGAACCTGAGATTTCAGAGATTCATTCACATGTGCCATTCAAACCAGTCCCCTAGGAAAAACATAGTGGGACCAGAGGGGTCTTAGTGCCAACTCTCTTGTGTGGAGAGCTTGCTTGAGCTCTGATCTCTCACCAGCTTCTTATCAACCTGGAATTTTGTAGCATGTATGCTTTCTCGGGTGATGAGTTCCATTTTACCTTTTTTTAAGTAGACAGTTTCTCCATGTTGGTCGGGCTGGTCTTGAACTCCCGACCTGAGGTGATTCACCTGCCTCAGCCTCCCAAAGTGCTGGAATTACAGGCGTGAGCCACCGCACCTGGCCAAAAGCAAGTTTATTAAGAAATTAAAGGAATAAAAGAATAGCTACTCAATGGGCAGAGTAACCTCTTATCTGTTTATCACTCAGGCTCCATCATTCTTCAGGTCTATTATTACAGAACAAATCTCCTCTCCAACCCTTAATCATACCCGTCAAATTACCTCCTCCTAACAGAAAACTTGCTCTTTCCTACTTTTCCAGCTAGAACCACCTATTAATTTCTAATTGCCCAGATGAAGGCCCATGCCACACAGCCTAAAGGGGTTGCCTCTGGTCTCCTACCTATACCCACCTTTCAGTCAGTGTCTGCCTGGAAGGAAATGAGTAATGACCTCACAGTCCCTCAGGTTACCCTCACTGTCCACCTTACTCCTTTACACCTAACACCATCTCAGCAAACAAGGGCCTAGTTTCCTAGAAGTACCTCACAGAGGTACAGTGTGCATGTGTAACTTCACATTCTCTTCATTTTCATTCCAAAGATACAGTGAGATTCTGCACAAACTTACAAACTGAAGAGTGTCAAAGCATGTATCCTCTTATTGTAGTCTTAAAAAGCTCATGGAATTATTCTAGGGACACAGAAGATCCTGTGGCACAGATTTAGGTAAAGAGCAAAATGCTTACTGAAAAAATTAAGTACTGGCTAGCTACCAGGGAGATTTGACCGTAGCTGGCAAACGTGGAACTCTGCAAATACTTGGAGCCATTAATTATGTATACGTTTTATTCATAATTTGTTCATGTTCTGGGATACCAAAGTAATTCTAATAATGGCTGAACTTAAAAAAATGTTAACCTCATCTTAAAATACCCACTGATCCAGCTCATTCAATGGTAATAGTGAATGCTTTCTAAAGGAACATAAAAAACACATGCACACAATCGCACAGTTTTCATAAAGGTCTATTTCATTATTGGTGGGTAGCACATTTAACAGTTAAATACATTTAAATAATGTATAGGTGACTGCAGAACTGCAGCATTGGTAACTAGATAACCAATTCAACTAGAAACCAGCTAACAAGGAACTGTCTAAATATTTGAAATACAGCTCTTGTTGAGATCATCCTTTGTTTTGATCATCATCTTGGGGGAAAAAAAGCCTGCTGCTGGTCACAATGGAAATATATTAAGGCCAAATCTTGTCATATCCATTCCCAAACGTTTCTTTCAGCTGGATTAAGCCTCCAACTCCAGGGCAAGCCCAAGCTTGTGGCCTCCAGCATTAATGCTCTTCCCGTCTACCAAAGCAGACAGTGTAAGCTTCACACCTGTTAAGAAAAAAAAACAAAAAATAAAACAAACGTGATGTGCCTGGCACTTCACTCAGTCTGAGCCTTCTTTCACAGTCATCCCAGAGCCTGCCTGTCACTTCCTCAGCCTGTCAGCTGGCCTACCAGTGCTGGCCACCAGAGGGCGCTTGGAAATATCTGAGACACCGGAAGAACTGGGTTACCCTTCTAGGTAAGGAACCAAGTCACAGAGAATAGAAATGTTAATAACCAGAAGTTAAAAGTGTTCTAGAAAATACAAGGCTGGGCGCGGTGGCACACGCCTATAATCCCAGTACTTTGGGAGGCAGTGGCAGGTGGATCACAAGGTCAAAAGATCGAGACCATCCTGGCCAACATAGTGAAACCCCCGTCTCCACTAAAAATACAAAAATAAACTAGGCGTGGTGGTGAGTGCCTGTAATTCCAGCTACTCCGCAGGCTGAGGTGGGAAAATCACTTGAACCCAGGAGGTGGAGACTGCAGTGAGCCAAGATCACACCACTGCACTCCAGTTTGTCGACAGAGCAAGATTCCGCCTCAAAAAAAAAAAAAAGTTGAATTACTATCCAGATGAAAAGAGACTAGAGACATAATCATAATTAGATGCTAGAAAAGAAAACCTACAATAAAGACACATTTGGGGATGGGGGGAAATCTGAATATATATTTGTATTATTACATTAATGTTAGTGTTCTTAGATGTGACAGTGGTATTGTGCTTATAAAGAAAAATGTCTTACTCTTAGGATACACATGGTAGGGCTGCCATGTCTGTATGTTTGCAAAACATACATTTCTTTAAAAATGTTTTTTGTGTTTTTTTTTGTTTTTGGGTTGTTTTTTTTTTTAACGTTTCTTTAAAAACGTATGTGAAAGGGAGTTTCAGGCTGTGCACTTTGGGAGGCCCAGGTGGGTAGATCACCTGAGGTCAGGAATTCGAGACCAACCTGACCAACATGTTGAAAACCCATCGCTACTAAAAATATTAAAAATTAGCCGGGCGTGTTGTCGCATGCCTGTAATCCCAGCTGCTCAGGAGGCTGAGACAGGAGAATCGCTTGAACCCGGGAGGCAGAGGTTGTGGTGAGCCAAGATTGTGCCATTGCACTCCAGCTTGGGCAACAAAGCAAAACTCTGTCTCCAAAAAAAAAAAAAAGTTTCAGAGACATAAATGTAGTACCTGTTAATAACTGGTCAACGTGGAAAAAATGCATATGATGTTCATTGTACCATTTTTCCAAATTTTCTTTAGGTTTCAAAATCGCCAAAATAAACTCTGGGGAGGAAATTCCCTATTTGGAGGGGAAAAAAGTCTCCAGTACTTTAACAAGACTCCAAGATGAGTCGTGTGCAGCACAGTGAAGTTGGAAAAGTGCTGCAAAGCGATGATTGAACTTTGATCAACAAAAAAATTACTGCCGGGCGCGGTGGCTCAAGCCTGTAATCCCAGCACTTTGGGAGGCCGAGGTGGGTGGATCACGAGGTCGAGAGATCGAGACCATCCTGGTCAACATGGTGAAACCCCGTCTCTACTAAAGGTGCAAAAAATTAGCTGGGCATGGTGGCGCGTGCCTGTAATCCCAGCTACTCAGGAGGCTGAGGCAGGAGAATTGCCTGAACCCAGGAGGCGGAGGTTGCGGTGAGCAGAGATCGCGCCATTGCACTCCAGCCTGGGTAACAAGAGCGAAACTCTGTCTCAAAAAAAAAAAAAAAATACTACAAAATATTTCAGGTACAAGTGAGGAAATGGAATAGGAAGTTGATATTAAAAAATATGGAATCACTGCTTTCTTAGATGTGATAGTATTACGGTTATGTAGAAAAGGAGAGAAAGTCCTAATTCTAAAGAGAAGGCTCATGACCAAATGGCCTAGCAAAAAAAGGAAAGGAAAAAGAAATAAAAAGTTGTGGCAAAAGGTAAACATGTATTTATTGTACTCTTCTTTCAACTCTTCTGCGTGCTTGCTTGAACAGTATGAAAAATAAGAGGAATGAAAACTAAATGTTTAAATACTATCAAAACAATCCTACTTTATCAAGAATACTTACCAGGCCTCAGAGTCTGAGTATAGCCTACTCCAATTAAGCTAGAGTTGTTGACTTTTGCCTAAAATAAAATTCAAAAACAACTATAAGAAAAATATTTCAATAGAGACAAAGCCCCTACATGTTTCCCCATCATGTAGTCATGAAGTGTTCAGTTTTATTCATGTGAGACAATAAAATTCAACATTATGTATCAAGTCAAACAGAAACCAGATACTACTACTTATCCATTCAGCTCAAAACTCAAATTGTCAGTAGGACACAACAATACTCTTCATAGACCTTGGAATGTATCCAAAGACCCCAAACTGTCTGTATAGCACAAGACCTTAAGCAGTCTCATAAAAATCCTTGTTGATTCTGGTCTAACAAAACCAGACCAAAATGTGGTACCAATCAGGCTCACTAGAGGTGACATACACCAGCCCTAGAGCAGGCTGTACAGTTTAAATTCATGACTTAGTTACAAACATTACTACTTTTAGGGCTCTTCCTAAAGAATCAAAACCATCAATGTTTTTTTAAAAATCCCCAAACAGGCCAGGCATAGTGGCTCACACCTGTAATCCAAACACTTTGGAGGCCAAGGCAGGTGGATCACCTGAGGTCCGGAGTTCAAGATCAGCCTGACCAACATGGTGAAACCCTGTCTTTAAAAAATAAATAAATAAGCCGGGCGCGGTGGCTCAAGCCTGTAATCCCAGCACTTTGGGAGGCCGAGGCGGGTGGATCACAAGGTCAAGAGATCGAGACCATCCTGGTCAACATGGTGAAACCCCGTCTCTACTAAAAGTGCAAAAAATTAGCTGGGCATGGTGGCACGTGCCTGTAATCCCAGCTACTCAGGAGGCTGAGGCAGGAGAATTGCCTGAACCCAGGAGGCGGAGGTTGCGGTGAGCCGAGATCGCGCCATTGCACTCCAGCCTGGGTAACGAGCGAAACTCCGTCTCAAAAAAAATAAATAAATAAAATAAATAAATAAATAAATAAATAAATAAATAAATAAAAATACATCCCCAAACAACAAGTAATTCCTCTGTAGAATCAAACAATCTTTTATCCTCACATTCTCACACCTGTCATTAATGCCGATGCCACCGAGTTCTGGCTGTATGTAACCACTGGGCTTGGGAGGAGGTCCCAGTGACGCATCATGTACCAATCCAGGCCCCTGCCTTCCCTGCACAATCCTAACATTTTAGGACTTACAGACTTCAAGGCCTGGAAGGAACCCTGAAGAGTAAGATATAATGAGTAGCTTCCTTTTACCTAAATTTTCTACTACCACTAACATTATTAAGCCACATCAGAGGCCTATCAATATAAATGTGGACAACTGCCCTCATTTCCAGGGCCTAGGTTGCCTAGACATGCAACTTTGCTTAGTTTTCAGCATTCTGAGGGCTATAGTTTAAAGGTAACAGCCTATGTAAGCAAAACAGATCTGCAAATGATTTGTTATCTATATTCTTATAATGTGTAACATGCAAAAAGCCCAATCCAGAGAGGGAAATGATGTTAACTATACAGACACAAGCCACATCCACAACACTTGTATTTGCTTGGCATTAGAGCCAAATATTCATGAGCTACCAATGACCAGCTAAAGAAAAAAATAGGCCCGGAGCAGTGGCTGACACCAGCAATCCCAGAACTTTGGGAGGCCAAGGTCGGGAGGATTGCTTGAGCCCAGAAGTTCAACAGCCTGGGCAACATAGTGAGACCCCTGTCTGTCTGTACAAAATTTTTCTAGTCTGGCATGTTGGTGCACACCAACTATCAGGGAATGGGGGTGAGATGGAAGCATCTCTTGAGCCCAGGTGGTTAAGGGTGCAGTTACAGCACAGGCAACAAAGCTAAAAAAAATAAAAATAAAGAAAAAAATACCTCGCTAATGGCTATCTTGTGCCCGAGAAATAAGAGCCTCAGAAACCTGGATATAAATTCCTATTATTTAACAGGAGTTAAACCATGAAACTGTGATAAGGAGTAAAAATAAATGAAATCAGTTTCTCCCTCTATACTCTCACAAGACCTAGGGGGAATTTCCCACACATCAAGCAAGCAATCAGTTCTGCAACAGACTCCAGCTAGATGTTCTCTAATTCAATTCCAATACTACCTACCTGGAGAGAGCATCACATTCCACAAGTTCAAGGCTCAGTTTCATAAAACTGCCCCACCCTCATTTTCAGTGCCAACCTCAAGCTCCACGTTGTTTTGCCTCTGCTTTCTTACAGACTAGTTATAAATCAGGGTTCCCAAAAACCCCTTGGATTCAATTCATTTGCTAGAGTGGCACACAGAATTGGAAATATATTTACCAGTTATATAGAAAACTTTAAAGGACATAAATGAACAGCCAGATAAAAAAGATATTTATATATCTTTTCCTTTATAGATGAGGTCTAGCAGGAGTTTCTATCCCTGTGGAGCTGGGGTGCCCCACCCTCCAAGGACATGAATGTATTACTTTCTGAAGGCCCCCTGAACTCAGTCCTTTGGGCTTTTATGAAGACTTCTTTACAAAGGCACAATTAATCAAATCCTTGGCTGTTGGCTCAACCTTTAGCTACTATGCCCACTCCAGGCAGGTTTGTTCCTGTAGTCAGTCATCTAGGGACTAGCCAAAATTCACCTCATTAATGTAAGCTCAGATGTGGTTGAAAAGGGCCAGTTAAAAATAACAAAAGAGCCCAGGGCACAGTGGCTCACACCTGTAATTCCAGCACTTTGGGAGGCCAAGGAAGGTAAATCACTTGAGGTCAGGGGTTGGAGACCAGCCTGGCCAACATGGTAAAACCTCATTTCTACTAAAAATACAAAAATTAGCGGGGTGTGGTGGCAGGTACCTGTAATCCCAGATACTAGGTAGGCAGAGGAACCAGAATTACTTGAACCCAGGAGGCAGAGGTTGCAGTGAGCTGAGATCGCGCCACTGCACTCCATCCAGCCTGGGTTGAGAGTGAGACGCCATCTCAAAAAAAAAAAAAAAAGACGATGACAGAAAAAGACTGTCTTTCACTTTTATGCTCTGGCGCTGTTTCAGGAATCAAGGACAAATGGCCAAATATCTTAACAAAAAGATACTCTTATTGCTCTATTCACATGGGAAATACAAGAAGCTGTGAGCCAGGAACTGGACAAAAACCAAAATATATAAACCATAATGGCCGGGCACGGTGGCTCAAGCCTGTAATCCCAGCACTTTGGGAGGCCGAGGCGGGTGGATCCCAAGGTCAAGAGATCGAGACCATCCTGGTCAACATGGTGAAACCCCGTCTCTACTAAAAATACAAAAAATTAGCTGGGCATGGTAGTGCGTGCCTGTAATCCCAGCTACTCAGGAGGCTGAGGCAGAAGAATTGCCTGAACCCAGGAGGCGGAGGTTGCGGTGAGCTGAGATCGTGCCATTGCACTCCAGCCTGGGTAACAAGAGCGAAACTCTGTCTCAAAAAAAAAAAAAAAAAAAAAAATATATATATATATATATATATGTGTGTGTGTATGTATGTATATAAACATAGTATCAACAAGAATCCCTTACAGCTAAAAGATCTATATAGCTGTCAAGATTGTTTACACTTGTTGCATTTATATGACAGATATATTAGGAGTACAAACACAAATATGCCTATCATCTGGAGAAGCCACTGTGGGGGAGGGATAGGTTTAAAGAAACAACTAGGCCAGGCACGGTGGCTCATGCCTGTAATCCCAGCACTTTGGGAGGCTAAGGCGGGCAGATCACTTGAGGTCCGAAGTTTGAGATTAGCCTGGCCAACATGGCAAAACCCCATCGCTACTAAAAATACAAAAATTAGCCGGGCATGGTGGAGGGCACCTATAATCCCAGCTACTAAGGAGGCTGAGGCACAAGAATGGCTTGAACCCAGGAGCTGAAGGTTGCAGTGGGCTGAGACTGTGCCACTGCACTCCGGCCTGAATGACATCTCAAAAAAAAAATTAAAAAAAAGTAACAACTAATTTGTCCTAGGAAGAAGAAAAAAAAAATAGCTCAGTATGAGGAATGTGAGGTATGCAAAATTTACCAGGCCCAGAGACATGAGGATGAGACTTTAGTTACAGGACACACCCCCATACCCAGGGACAATTGTTTAAAAACACTTCCTTCTTTTTCTTCCTTGTAGTTTCCAGGCTAGCTCGCAAATACCTACAGTGTTACCGCAAGCTGTACAATGTGACCCTCACCAATTATCTTCATGTTCCTGTTATCTGTGATACAAGGAACAATGTACAGCCAATCACTAATCAATGTTATTTCTGTAAACCAAAGAGAATTCCTGCCAAACAACTTTGTATCAGCCCACATCCTGTCCCTGATTTTTGGCCTTTAAAAACATGTTTGTAACAAAGGCCAAGTGGAGCTCAAATCCAGGGTTCCTTGGATCTGAGTCTGCTGGGCAGCTGTCCTCATCTTGGCACAGGTAAGGTCTTTAAAATCATACTTTGTGCCTCAGTTTCTTCCTTTAGATTGACAGATGCCATTACAAACATATTTATCTTCTTGTACCAGCTTTTTCCCCACTTGATATACTGTTATTTATTTGTACCTTGTGCAAAACTATTAAGCACAGAGATCAGCTGATAGTGAGCTCCAGTTCCTCAGGCCAGTCACTTTCCACAGGTATTACATCTAGGAGGTGTCAACTTAATTTCACAATACATATGATCATCAATTACAGTATTATCGTAAGACTTATTTACACAAGAGAGTTTAATCTTGCCAACAGTATTAACACCATATGGCAGTAGGAGCATGGTACAAATCAGTTTTATTAAAGATCAGTTAATAATTTAAAGGTATTTGCTTTGCCTTCCCAATAGAAAGCTACCCTTCCCCATTTGTCCACCTTTATCTTGATTAATAAGCCTGAATACTGTCCCAGGAAATTTCTGTTCACATTTCTCAATGTAATCTCTGCCCTCTTTTTAAATTTCTCCAAACTGGACAATATACAGCAAATACAGGTTTTAGGGGTATTTTTTCCCTTGCAGTGTGGCTTTGAAGCTGGTGGCCAAAGCTCAAAAAGAATGAAATCTGAGCCTGGCCTAGCATCAAGGTACAATCTAGCACTCTTTCACTTTGATTTTAGCTATTACAAATAACAATAATCAAGGGATTGTATATTTTATTTCGTATTGTTTGCATTTCCTCATGCACCCAGTGAGCCAACTCCCTGAGAGTTGAATCTATCTCTGAATTCCAGTGGTAATCTTTACTAAGTACCTGAGAATAGCACAGTTGTGGTTCCATAGCAGGGATGACCACCTGACCATCTAAGAGTCTAAAGTTCCTCATTCTCCATTCATTTATCCTTTTTCTTCCTAAACCATCCTTTGATGAGCCACTCTAGCTAGAGCCATTCTTAGTAAATCCTAAACCTGACATCGATTCTGACGATACAGAAATAAACCAACTCAATTTCTACTACTATTCTGTCACAACACAAAATGCTTCTGTGACCACATGTGTGAGGGCTTTCCCCACACACCAAGCAAGTAGTAATTCCTGCAGCAGACACTGGCTAGATGTCCTCTAATTCAATGCAATTCTACCTGGAGACATCAGATGCCCCAGGTTAAGGGCCTGGTCCGACAAGACTGCCCTCCTTTTCCCATTTCATATGCCAAATGCAAGCCCCAGCTTGTTTTAACTCTGCTTCTGGGCCGGGCGCGGTGGCTCAAGCCTGTAATCCCAGCACTTTGGGAGGCCGAGGCGGGTGGATCATGAGGTCGAGAGATCGAGACCATCCTGGTCAACATGGTGAAACCCCGTCTCTACTAAAAATACAAAAAAATTAGCTGGGCATGGTGGCTCGTGCCTGTAATCCCAGCTACTCAGGAGGCTGAGGCAGGAGAATTGCCTGAACCCCGGAGGCGGAGGTTGCGGTGAGCAGAGATCGCGCCATTGCACTCCAGCCTGGGTAACAAGAGTGAAACTCCGTCTCAAAAAAAAAAAAAAAAAAAAAAGGCCGGGCGCGGTGGCTCAAGCCTGTAATCCCAGCACTTTGGGAGGCCGAGGCGGGTGGATCACGAGGTCGAGAGATCGAGACCATCCTGGTCAACATGGTGAAACCCCGTCTCTACTAAAAATACTAAAAATTAGCTGGGCACGGTGGCGTGTGCCTGTAATCCCAGCTACTCAGGAAGCTGAGGCAGGAGAATTGCCTGAACCCAGGAGGCGGAGGTTGCGGTGAGCCGAGATCGCGCCATTGCACTCCAGCCTGGGCAACAAGAGCGAAACTCCGTCTCAAAAAAAAACTCTGCTTCTGACCTGGCAGCTCTAAATAGAGGTTCCCACAAGCCCCTCCTTAGGTTCAATTAATTTCCTAAAGCAGGTCACAGAACTCGAGAAACACTTTATTTACATTTACCAGTTTTAATAAAGGATATTACAAAGAATACAGATTAAAAGATGTATAGTGCAAAGCACAGGAAGGGACACGGAACTTCAATACCCTCTCCAGGCATACCACCTTGCAGTAACCTCAGCTACCCAGAAGCTCACTGACCTCTCCTTGTGGGTTTTCATAAGGCTTCATTATACAGGCATGACATTAAACCACTAGCCATTGATGGGCCAGACACAGTAGCTCAAGCCTGTAATTACAGCATTTGGGAGGCCAAGGAGGGTAGATCACCTGAGGTCAGGAGTTTGAGACGAGCCTGGCCAACATAGTGAAACGCCCTCTCTACTAAGGATACAAAAATTAGCTGGCGGTGGTGGTGAGTGCTTGTAGTCCCAGCTACTCAGGAGGCTGAGGCAGGAGAATCGCTTGAAACTGGGAGGCAGAGATTGTGGTGAGCCAAGATGGTAACATTGCACTCCATCCAAAAAGAGCAAAACTCTGTCTCAAAAAAAAAGATGCCACAGACATCGGAGAACATCAATGCAGGTAACAGAATAGTATGCTGTATGAATTCTGAGGTTTTTATTGCTGTAGTGCAGTTAGAAACAGAGAAGGGGGGCCGGGCATAGTGGCTCACAAGGTAAGGAGATCAAGTCCATCCTGGCCAACATGGTAAAACACTGTCTCTACTAAAAATACAAATATTAATCAGGCGTGGTGGCATGTGGCTGCAGTCCCACACTCAGGAGGCTGAGGCAGGAGAAACGCGTGAACTGGGGAGGCAGAGGTTGTAGTGAGCTGAGATGGCGCCATTATACTCCAGCCTGGGCGACAGAGCAAGACTCCATCTCAAAACAAAAACAAAAACAAAGAAATGGAGAAGGGGGCCAGGCATGGTGGCTCACACCTGTAATACCAGCACTTCAAGGTTAGGAGTTTCAGACCAGTTTGACCAACAAGGTGAACTCCCATCTTTACTAAGAAATTAAAAAAAAAAAAAATTAGCCCGGAATGGTGGCAGGCACCTGTAATTTCAACTACTCGGGAAGCTGAGGCAAAAGAATTGCTTGAACCCAAGAGGTGGAGGTTGCAGTGAGCCAAGATGGCACTACTGCACTCCAGCCTGGGTGTCAGAGTGAGAGACTCCAAAAAAAAAAAGACAAAGGGATGATTACAATACTAGCCAGGGACAGTGGCTCATGCCTGTAATCCCAATAAACTACGGGATGACAGCTTCAGCCTAGCCTGGCAACATATGGAGATCCTATCTCTACAAAAAAACATCAAAAAATTAGTTGGGAATAGTAGGAGGCTGAAGTAGGAGGACTGCTTGAACCCAGGATGTCAAGGCTGCAGAGTCGTGACTGTGCTACTGCACTCTAGCCTGGGCAAGAGACAGGCTGCTTCAAAAGAGATTAAAGCGGCCAGGCGCGGTGGCTCAAGCCTGTAATCCCAGCACTTTGGGAGGCCGAGGCGGGTGGATCACGAGGTCGAGAGATCAAGACCATCCTGGTCAACATGGTGAAACCCCGTCTCTACTAAAAATACAAAATACTAGCCGGGCGCGGTGGCTCAAGCCTGTAATCCCAGCACTTTGGGAGGCCGAGGCGGGTGGATCACGAGGTCAAGAGATCGAGACCATCCTGGTCAACATGGTGAAACCCCGTCTCTACTAAAAATACTAAAAATTAGCTGGGCATGGTGGCGCGTGCCTGTAATCCCAGCTACTCAGGAGGCTGAGGCAGGAGAATTGCCTGAACCCAGGAGGCGGAGGTTGCGGTGAGCCGAGATCGCGCCATTGCACTCCAGCCTGGGTAACAAGAGCGAAACTCCGTCTCAAAAAAAAAAAAAAAGAGATTAAAGCACTATTATTTCTGACATGACAAGAACCACACAGGGACCAAAACACCAGCTACACTATGGCTCAAGGTTATTATGAACACTCACTCAGCAGCTTTTGAGGTTAAACAAACTCCAGTGGCCTGGCCTGGAAATAAAACCTCTAACACTGTCTCCATAGAAAAAGCAGCATTTCAAATTCTAAAGCCAATCTGTTAACTGAGGACTGTGTGAAATCAGTTCAAATTTTCAACACAACTCAATATACTCGAAGACTCATTCCCACAACCAAAACCCCCATTCTAAGTCCACAGAAGTACTCACAGAAATGGAAGCAGTAGGATCCAACTGATATTTAGCTGCAATGCCAAAACGAGTGCAGTTGGTACCTGATGTCCAAGCAAGGTTTACTGAAGTGTCAAGATCTTCACATACTTTCTGATAAATTGATCCTCCAAATTCTGTCCCATCATTGCTATAAGACATTTTAAATTAGTAGTTCTAGAATAGACAATGTAATAATGTCTAAGGCAAAGCCTTGTACCATTAAATTTAAATAAAAACCACAGCTCGAAAATAAAGAAAAAGAAAAAACAACACAGGTCAAGTGGGTTTTTTCCCAATCCACACCCATACAGGGATTAGTAAAATGAACCACAGAACAGCCATCTAGTGGAATTATCACACTGTATTTAACATGGAAGAGTTTCTCAAACAGCCTTTCGGTTATGTATTTCATATATAAGTACATATACGTACACATATAAAAAGGTGAACCACCACAACATTAACGAAGATTATACATCTAGCTGGCAGGATTATGAGAAATTCAGATCTTCTTCTTTGTGCTTCTGTTATTTACCAATGGATTTTTACAATGGGAAAAAACATTTTAAGTACTTTCCATATACCTATCTAGTTGGGGCTAGGTAAAACCACCAGGCGGGATGCAGTGGCTCCCGCATATAATCCCAACACCTTGGAAGGCTGAGGCAGGAGGATTACTTAAGGCCAGGAGTTTGAGATTTTGTAGAGACCCTGTCTCTACAAAAACAATTTTTTTTTTAAACTAACAACAGCCAGGCACGGTGGCTCACACCTGTAACCCCAGAACTTTGGGTGGTCAGATCAGGAGGTCAGGAGTTCGAGACCAGCCTGGTGGGCATGGTGGTGTGTGCCTGTAGTCCCAGCTACTTGGGAGGCTGAGGCAGGAAAACTGCTTGAACCTGGGAGGTGGAGATTGCAGTGAGCTGAGATCGCACCACTGCACTCCAGCCTAAGAGACAGAGCAAGATTCCGTCTTTCAAAAACAGAAACAAAAAACAACAACAAAACACCATACATTTTAGATAATCCTATCAAGTCAGCACCCCACACATCATAATAATTAAGTAAAATGAAAGCACTAGTTTTTTTTTCATCTACAACACATTTATTTGTATAATCCAGAAATTAGCAGGACCAAAACTGTAGCCATGCCGAGACATTTACTGGCAGCTTTTCCTTCTACCCAAAGGACAAAGTACTTGAGACACTGCCTGTGTGCCTAAAGAGGCATCACACAAGGAAAGCCCCGCCCCCTACTTCCTTCATCTGAGCAAAGAAACCTATTTCCATGCACAGTGCTTAGTGGCTGGGACTCTCCAAAGCAGGGGAAATTCAGATTTAACCTAATGTATGTAGGTCTGCGTCATGATGGTGAACTGAAAGCAGCTAAACGATTTAGCTGGTTTCAACTGATGGTGAATTGAAATCATGATTTAGCTGGTTTCCCTGCAACATTCCTCTCAGGAGCCCACACCTGTCACACCTCATGCCCCAAAGGGATCAGGTGCTCTGGGATGTCTGCCAATACCTAATGCCTCTTATAAAAATACAAAGCACATTAAACCCCATATAAAATGAACGTTTATTCTCTCAGCACCGAAAGTCAGACAAACATTCTGAAGGAGCACCTTAGAAATGACCAAGAATGATTTTGTTTTTAGATGTTAAGAGAGATCCTTTGGGGTGCACCCAGATCAGTAAGAGATGACAGAAAACAAAATCATCCTCTGAGGGCCTACATCACAATATCCTATGAAAGAAATACTTACACATTAGTGTGTAGCTGGAAGTCCCCAGTCCTGTAGCCCACTGCAAAGTTATTCCTTGTCAGCTTTGATTTGGCACTGTCAAAGGTCATCTGGTACCCAGCAAGCCAGCCTTCATAACCAAAGACAGCTGAACCATGGATTGCAGGTCCAGCAAAATCAAAGTCAACATCACAACCAAGGTTTATACACTCCCTCTTGTAAGAGGACTTGATTTTACCACTTTTCTTTCTGGAAAAAGAACAAACTGATGTCACTGGAAAAAATTTACACACACTTCTGCACAGAGAGCACAAAGCAGACTTAAATGAACTGCAGTATGACCAGGGGATAAAAAGCAGCAATACGGTAACAGGGAGTAAAAACTGAGCTCAATGAACTAAAATCAAGGACACATGAGGCAACCGGATAGCCATCATCTAGGAAGACTGCATTGCAGTACTTGCAGTCAGTCACAAAAGCCCCTTAGAAACACATTAATTGCCCAAGTTAGTAAAACAATGGAGAGACAAATATTTGAAGGCAAGGCAATGATAGCAACCATCGTATTCTAAAAGCAGATACAGGCCAGCAGTGTATCGGTGCCTCCCGCCTATAATCTCAGCACTTTGGAAGGCTGAAGTGGGCAGACCACCTCAGGTCAGGAGTTCAAGACCAGCCTGGCCAACATAGTGAAACCCCGTCTCTACCAAAAATTAAAAAAAAAAAAAAAAAAATTAGCCAGGCGTGGTAGCCCACACCTGTAATCCCAGCTATTCATGAGGCTGAGACAGAAGAAAGGAGAACCACCTGAACCCGGAAGGCAGAGGTTGCAGTAAGCCAAGATTGTGCAACTGCACTCCAGCCTGGGCAAGAGTGAGACTTCCTCTCAAACAAACAAACAAACAATAAATAAATAAAGGCCGGGCGCGGTGGCTCAACCCCGTAATCCCAGCACTTTGGGAGGCCGAGGCGGGTGGATCACGAGGTCAAGAGATCGAGACCATCCTGGTCAACATGGTGAAACCCCGTCTCTACTAAAAATACAAAAAAATTAGCTAGGCATGGTGGTGCGTGCCTGTAATCCCAGCTACTGAGGAGGCTGCAAGAGAATTGCCTGAACCCAGGAGGCGGAGGTTGCGGTGAGCCGAGATCGCGCCATTGCACTCCAGCCTGGGTAACAAGAGCAAAACTCTGTCCCAAAAAATAAATAAAAAGCCGAGTACAGTGGCTCATACCCATAATCCCTGCACTTTGGGAGGTCCAGGTGGGCGAATCACCTGAGGTCAGGAGTTCCACACCAGCCTGGCCAACATGGTGAAACCCCGTCTCTCCTAAATATACAAAAATTAGCTGGGTATGGTGACGAGTGCCTGCTGTCCCAGCTATTCAGGGAGGCTGAGGCAGAAGAATCTCTTGATCCTGGGAGGCAGAGGCTGCAGTAAGCCAAGATCGTGCCACTGCACTCCAGCCCGAGTGACATAACAAGACTCCATCTCAAATAAATAAATAAATAAAAACAGATACAGAGATTTCGCCACCACAAGGTAGCTTAATAAGCTATAAAGCAGTAAATGTACACCTTTTCTAAATATACAAAAGAAATGCTTTTAAATGTAATGCAGATAAAAATGGCTATGCTTACCCTGTGTTTGGTGAGAAGGTAGTATCAAATGTCAGTTTCAAACCTTGACAAATCTATTTTGAAAGAAAAGTAATTTGTTTTCTGCATTTGTTATTTTTTGAAATACAAAAATAAAAATTAACACTAAAACACATTTTCAAAATGTTACCTGGTCTTCAATTGCGATTTCTGTTCCCAGAGTGTTATCAGTGTTCCATTTTTCTGTGAAAGTCAGACCATACTCACACCACTTATATTTGGTCTCCAAGGTCCCAGTAACTTTACCAGTGTCTGTATTAGATGAGCCAGACGTTGAGAATTCCTAACAAGACAATCAATAACTTCATGAACATTCTCATAAGCCTAGATTTCATCACTGCCTAACTCACACACACACAAAAAACCCAGTGAAACATTTGGTAAATTCACGAATCCTTTTTCTAGCTTTCTGAAAACTTATATTCCTACTCTCTAAGCACATACAAGAGTGACAAGCCTTTGAGCAACTGACTGCCACTTTACATACAGCTGACATTTCCAATCAATCACAAGTTAACCTGTAACTAATTCTCAAGTGAGCAAACTGTACATCTTTTTTTTTTTCTTTGAGATGGAGTCTCGCTCTGTTGCCAGGCTGGAATGCAGTGGTGCAATCTTGGCTCACTGCAGTCTCTTACTCCTTGGTTCAAGCCATTCTCCTGCCTCAGCCTCCAGAGTAGCTGGGATTATAGGCATGCACGACCACACCCAGCTAATTTTTGTATTTTTAGTAGAGACAGGATTTCACCATGTTGGCCAGATGGTCTCGAACCCCTTACCTCAGGTGATCCACCCACTTCAGCTTCCCAAAGTTCTGGGATTACAGTCATGAGCCACTGTGCCCAGCCAACTCTACATCTTTTTTTTCTTTTGAGACCACATCTCACTCTGTCACCCAGAATAGAATACAGCGGTGCAATCTCAGCTCACTGCAACCTCTGCCTACCAGGTGCAAGGGATTCTTCTACCTCAGCCTCCCAAGTAGCTGAGATTACAGGTGCCCACCACCAAGCCCAGCTAATTTTTGTATTTTTAGTAGAGACGGAGTTTCACCATGTCAGCCAGGCTGGTCTCAAACTCCTGACCTCAGGAGATCCACCCACCTTGGCCTCCAAAAGTGCTGGGATTACAGGTGTGAGCCACCATCCTCGGCCATCTGTTTTGGAGACAGGGTCTCGCTCTGTCGCCCAGGCTGGAGTACAGCGCCACAGTCAAAGCTCACTGCAGCCTCAAACTCCTGGGCCCAAGTGATCCTGCTGAGATGTCAGCCTCCCAGGTAGCCGGGACTTCAGGTGCCCACCATCAAGCCCAGCTAATTTTTAATTTTTTTTGTAGACATAGGGTCTCGCTTTGTTGCCCAGGTTAGTCTCAGAACTCCTGGGCTCAAGTGACCCTCCTGCCTCAGCCTCCCCAAGTGCTAGGATTACAGGAATAAGCCACTGTAACTTAACTTTTTTGGGTTTGTTTCTGCATCTATAATTACAAAGCCTACCTATGGATGATTAAACTGAATTGACACTAAAAGCTTTGTACATTTTCACATGCTCTACACAAATGGAAAGCATTATTAAAACAATATATGGAACAGGTTCTTCTAGCAGATGTTCGAATGAGTAATGTGTGAATAGCTATTTTTAATCCTGAATGACATTAATGACTCTTGGGGCCCCATCCACTGCCATCCATCAGTCCGCAGATCAAGAGCAAGCCTACATAACACATGCCAAGGAAGACTCAAGAAATAAAGCCAACACCACCCTGTGGGACCAGCGTTGGGCCACATTACAGCTCATCCCTTTACTCCTCCACCAGACATTTTGGTTTCTACATTCTGGGGTGGCCTCAGTAGCTCTGCAGTTCAAGTAAGAAAACAGAGCCAAGTATTAATGAAACTTATTAGGACTAGGTTCATACTACAGGATCAATACCATGGTTTTTCAATTATATGTATTAAATGTGAATAAAAACATGCTATCTTTAATCCAGCTCCTACACATCCTTCATGCTCTTAAACTTACTCCCATACAACTCTTCCTAACCTTTTATTTGTTTTCTTTTTTTTTTTTTTTGAGATGGAGTTTAGCTCTTGTTACCCAGGCTGGAGTGCAATGGCGCAATCTTGGCTCACTGCAACCTCCGCCTCCTGGGTTCAAGCAATTTTCCTGCCTCAGCCTCCTGAGTAGCTGGGATTACAGGCACGCGCCACCATGTCCAGCTAATTTTTTGTATTTTTAGTAGAGATGGGGTTTCACCATGTCGACCAGGATGGTCTCGACCTCATGATCCACCCGCCTCGGCCTCCCAAAGTGCTGGGATTACAGGCTTGAGCCACCGCGCCCGGCCTCTTCCTAACCTTTTAAACAATAATCTATTCCTTTCCAACAAAGATTTGGTTTATCAAACAATCTAGTATTTGATGTAATTATCTCAGTCTTCTCAGTTTGTCTCTCCAACTAGAAAGTAAGCTTTTTAAACACAAGGATTGAGTCTTTTTTTTTTTTTTTTTTGAGACGGAGTTTCGCTCTTGTTACCCAGGCTGGAGTGCAATGGCGCAATCTCGGCTCACCGCAACCTCCGCCTCCTGGGTTCAGGCAATTCTCCTGCCTCAGCCTCCTGAGTAGCTGGGATTACAGGCACGCACCACCATGCCCACCTAATTTTTTTGTATTTTTAGTAGAGACGGGGTTTCACCATGTTGACCAGGATGGTCTCGATCTCTTGACCTCGTGATCCACCCGCTTCGGCCTCCCAAAGTGCTGGGATTACAAACTTGAGCCACCGCGCCCGGCCGGATTGAGTCTTTTTTAGAAAGCCTTTTGTGCTTAAACAAATACAACTAGGGCCCTCAATAGACTAACAATGGGAACAATAAAAAACACACGAAATCACTGCTCTGTAACCTGTTAACTTGGCCAAATAAGTCATCCAATCATAACTAAACACCTAGGCTTCCTTTCAGAGCAAAGAAACCAAGTGACAGATATGATCAATATAAAAACCCCAGAAATCCAACAGGTCTAGGCTTTTAAGCAACCATAGGCCAAGCACTGTGGCTCAAGCCTGAAATCCCAGCACTTCAGGATCGCCTGAAGTGAGGAGTTTGAGACCAGACTGGCCAACATGGTGAAACACTGTTTCTACTAAAAATACAAAAATTAGCCAGGCATGGTGGCATGCACCTGCAATCCCAGTTACTTGGGAGGCTGAGCCAGGATAATCACTTCAACCTGGGAGGTGGAGGTTGCAGTGAGCTGAGATCACTCCACTGCACTCCAGCCTGGGTGACAGAGAAAGACAGCATCGCATGGAAAAAACAGAAACTACAACATTAGTTTGAATAAACACCAGTTATATGCACTACATCAAAAATATGTGAAAATATATATACATATATCAAAATAATCTATAGTATTCTCACATGCACACACTCATACCCACTCCCAAAACAATCTCAAAACAAAAATTTTTAGAGTAAAAAAAAATTGCACAAAGTTAAATTTTACTAGCTGGACTGGACGTGGTGCCTCACATCTATAATTCCAGCACTTTGGGAGGCCAAGGAGGGTGGATCACCTGGGCAACATGGCAAAACGTCATCTCTAAAAAAACTACCAAAAATAGCTGGACATGATGGATAAGGCCTGTACCCCCAGCTGCTTGGGAGGCTGAAGTGGGAAGACTGCTTGAACCCAGGGGTCAAGGCTGCAGTAAGATTATGCCACTGCATTCACTCCACTTCAGCCTGGGCAACAGAGCAAGACCCTGTATCAAAAATTGTATTTTACAGGCCGGGCGCGGTGGCTCAAGCCTGTAATCCCAGCACTTTGGGAGGCCGAGGCGAGTGGATCACGAGGTCGAGAGATCGAGACCATCCTGGTCAACATGGTGAAACCCCGTCTCTACTAAAAATACAAAAAACTAGCTGGGCGTGGTGGCGCATGCCTGTAATCCCAGCTACTCAGGAGGCTGAGGCAGGAGAAATTGCCTGAGCCCAGGAGGCGGAGGTTGCGGTGAGCCGAGATCGCGCCATTGTACTCCAGCCTGGGTAACAAGAGCGAAAACTCCGTCTCAAAAAAAAAAAAAAAAAAAATTGTATTTTACTCTAGACCCCTTGTAAGAGTTCATTGAGCTATCAAGACATTCAAATACCAAAATATTAACCTCTTAATTAAACAATATTCTTGGCTGGGCACAGTGGCTCACACCTGTAATCCCAGCACTTTGTGAGGGTGAGGTGGGTGGATCACCTGAGGTCAGGAGTTCAAGACCAGCCTAGCCAACATGGTGAAACTCCCAGCTCTACTAGAAATACAAAAATCAGTCAGGCATGGTGGCAGGCACCTACAATCAAACCTAGTAGGAGGCTGAGGCAGGAGAATCACATGAACTCTGGAGGTGGAGGTTGTAGTGAGCCAAGATCACACTACTGTACTCCAGCCTGGGTGACAGAGCAAAACTCAATCTGAAGAAAAGAAAAAAAAAATTCAGATCAGGACTCCCTAAACTCACAAAATACATGTGGAAATCTTCTCCAGGGAGAACTGCTAGAAAATGGACATTACATAAATGATCAGTACATTCAATTTGAGTTACTGATTTTTTTTTTTTTTGAGACAGAGTTTTTTGCTCTTGTTACCCAGGCTGGAGTGCAATGGCGCGATCTCGGCTCACCGCAACCTCCGCCTCCTGGGTTCAGGCAATTCTCCTGCCTCAGCCTCCTGAGTAGCTGGGATTACAGGCACGCGCCACCATGCCCAGCTAACTTTTTGTATTTTTAGTAGAGACGGGGTTTCACCATGTTGACCAGGATGGTCTCGATCTCTTGACCTCGTGATCCACCCGCCTCGGCCTCCCAAAGTGCTGGGATTACAGGCTTGAGCCACCGCGCCCGGCGAGTTACTGATATTTTTATGCCCATAACTGACAAGCATTGACAAAGAGTTACAAAAAAAGTGTAATAGGTTCTTTGCCTTCAAATGTGTAATCTCACTGAGTAAAAAGTGTCACCTGTCCTGTCTTTCCCAAGTTCCTTGTGCATACATAATATGACAAAAGACCACATGAAAATCAGAAATCACATCCAAAGCCAAAATAAATCAGGTTACATGAAATCCTTCCTTTCTTTTGGAGAATGGAGTCTCACTTTATCACCCAGGCTGGAGAGCAATGGCGAGATCTCAGCTTACTGCAACCTCCACCTCCTGCATTCAACCAATTCTCCTGTCTCAGCCTCCCAAGTAGCTGGGATTACAGGCATGCACCACCACACCCGGCTAATTTTTGTATTTTCAGTAGAGACAGGTTTTCACCATCTTGGCCACGCTAGTCTCGAACTCTTGACTGACCTCAGGTGATCCACCCACCTCAGCCTCCCAAGTGCTGGGATTACAGGCGTGAGCCACCACACCTGGCCACAAATCTCTTAAAACAAAGTTAACTTCTACCACTTCTTTAAAACAAAACAGGTAGATATCTTTCAGTTATGACTATTTTACAAATTGAAAAATCATAAAGGTTCAACAGAACTTATTTCATAGTAACACTCACCACGCCACTGCAAGACTTTGTTTTCACATCCAGTTTCACCAACCCAAAACCTTCAACAAGTAGAGAGCAAAAGATAACAAAATGATTCTTTTGTATGAAAGATGCATAGCAACTGTTGACTATACATTAAAAAAAAAATTCCACATATTCAGGGGTGGATAAAAATGTGTTAATATACAGCCAGGTGTGGTGACTCACGCCTATGATCCCAGCACTTTGGGAGGCCACAGCCGGAGGATCACCTGAGGTCAGGAGTTCGAGACCAGCCTGGCCAACACGGTGAAACATCGTCTCTACTAAAAATAAAAAAAGTTAGCCAGGCGTGGTTGCATGTGCCTGTAATCCCAGTTACCTGGGAGGATGAGGCAGGAGAATCATTGGAACCCAGGAGGTGGAGGCTGCAGTGAGCCGAGATCCCACCACTGCACCTCAGCCTGTGAAAGAGTGAGACTCTGTCTCAAAAAACAAAAACAAAAAAACTTTGTATGATATTTAGGACATTTATGCCAATGGAGTATCTCCAACAATCTAAAGGTGGGGAAGGGTGTGGAACAATCTTTAAGAAAACTCAAATTCACCTGAAAAAGCTCGCAACTCTGGAAAGTATTAGGACTCACCACAAAAGCGAAACAGTAATATGTCACAACTCTAGTCAACCAAGACCTAAGCTGTAATTGAAAAAAATTAAAGCACAAGCCGCTTTTTTTTTTTTTTTTCTGAGACAGAATTTCGCTCTTGTTACCCAGGTTGGAGTGCAATGGCGCGATCTCAGCTCACCGCAACCTCTGCCTCCTGGGTTCAGGCAATTCTCCTGCCTCAGCCTCCTGAGTAGCTGGGATTACAGGCACGCGCCACCATGCCCAGCTAACTTTTTGTATTTTTAGTAGAGACGGGGTTTCACCTTGTTGACCAGGATGGTCTCGATCTCTTGACCTCGTGATCCACCTGCCTCGGCCTCCCAAAGTGCTGGGATTACAGGCTTGAGCCACCGCGCCTAGCCCCGCTTTTTCTTTTTTTTTTGAGACGGAGTTTCACTCTTGTTATCCAGGCTGGAGTGCAATGGCGCGATCTCGGCTCACCGCAACCTCCGTCTCCTGGGTTCAAGCAATTCTCCTGCCTCAGCCTCCCCAGTAGCTGGGACTACAGGTGTGCACCACCATGCCCGGCTAATTTTTGTATTTTTAGTAGAGATGGGGTTTCACCATGTTGACCAAGACGGTCTCGATCTCTTGACCTCGTGATCCACCCGCCTCAGCCTCCCAAAGTGCTGGGATTACAAGCTTGAGCCACCGCGCCAGGCCCGCTTTTTCTTAAAAGTTAAAATTCTCTAACCATAGTTTTAAAAAACTTGGGGAAATTGGGGAAGGGGGCTCTGGACTGTAAAAGAACTCCTTCACAGAAGTTTAAGTATCTTAAGCATCTAACGGAATAATTAATACAAGGCTGGGCACATCGGCTCATGCCTGTAATGTAATCCCAGCAGGCTTTGAGAAGCCACTGTGTAATGGCTTACATAGTGAGACCCCACCTCTACAAAAAATTTTAAAAATTAGCCAGGTGTGGCAGAGCATGCCTGTAGTCCCAGCTACGTGGGACTTGGGAAGCTGAAGTAAGACGATCACTTGGGCCCAGGCTGCAGTTAGTTATGATGATGCCACTCATCCAGCCTGGGCAACAGTGGGAGATCCTGTCTCAAAAAAATAAATAAGTAAGTCCAAATTTAAAGCAGCAAGATACTAATAATTTGCAACGATTCATCTGATTTCCCTAAGAAACCCAAACATAAATTTTCACTCTTATCTAAAACGTTTTAAAAATAAAGTTCTTACCAAATCCTTTGTTGAAAATATCTCTGGCAGCTTTGCCAAGGTCAGCATATGATGGAGGAATACACATAGCTGGTAGAAAAAAAAATTCAGTGTTAATGTCTCTATTCTCCCATCTTCTAACCAAGAACTAGAGTATGATCACTGCTCATCTTTAAATTCGAGCAATCTCATTTGTTGTAATTATGTTCTGTATGCAATCAGGAGCTACAATAAAACTATAACAACCCATGAAGGAAATACCACCAACAAATTATTTCTAAAATAGATAACCATGGTTATACAAACTTGGGAAATTCGTTCCAAAATAGAAAAACAGCTTATTGCTAAATTTAGAGTACCCACAGCCTCACTTCCTAGGACTGGACAGGTACAAAGAACCAAACAAGTATTTGTATATATGGATAGGAATGTATCTGCCGAAATTCACTGAGATGAGCTGATTTAAATCAATGAGACAAAATCAAAACTTAAGACTAGGCCCTTTTCCCTGATACACCCTTTAATATCTTCGCTGAGGTGAAAACCAACATCCTGGAGTGGGAAGAGAACTTAATACTCTGGGAATTTAAATACTGAAACTTGGAAAAAATGCTGCCATCTGTGTTTCACTCAAGTGTCTATATCAACTAAGTATCAAATAGCACTTCAAACTTATTAACGTAACTCTCAAGTCCTTAGCCAATGCTGTGCTGCTTAAGGGCAAGCAATCTGAGCTCGTTACTCCCCGCTCATTCATTCCACAAAGCACGTCCACGCCCTTAGAAGCACAAGTAATGACCTTGTGCTCTCAAAAGAGGGACTGCTACTTCCTCTAGAAGTGACTAATCCGATCCTCCAAAGGTGGAAACCCCAATTAATAACTTTTTACTTCTGTACGTCAAAGACATGTACAAAAACTGAAAAGTCCATGCGGCCACAGACCAACTCCTCGGGCCTTGCTCCCCTATTTGAAATCCAGCAGCCCAGCCCCTCCTCCGCAGAGGTGGTCAGACGGTGGCGCGACCACTAAAATAAGCCGAATTTCCAAGTCCTTGGAAAGACGAGGGGAAACAAACTGCCGGTTTCTGGTAGACAGGCTTCGACTCTCCGTCCACCGCCGCCCCATCCCGTAGGGATCCCCGCTCTACTTACGCCGCGCGCAAGTCTGTCCGTGGGTAGCCATGGCGAGGCCGCGGGAAGAGGGGATCTGCGGGAGGGACAAGAAGTGCGGTCAGCTGGGGTCAAAGGGCCAAAAGGAGGTCCCGCACAGAAAAGGACGAGGGACCGCGGGGCAGCGCGGCCATCTTAGGGAGCCAGGGCCGACCCGAAGTCCGGTGCAGGCCTCCCGCTTGGCCGCCGGGGCGTAGGCCCCTGGGTCCGCATGAGGCGGGCGCGGCGGTACCTGGTGGTCTCCTGAGGGGGGCCGCCGCCACCGCTCCGCTAGCTGCTGAAGCCACTCGGCACGCTGGCGGTCGAGCTGCAGCTGCAGCGGCTGGAGGGCGAAGTGAAGGAGACACCGTTCCGCCCGCCGCAACCCCGTCCTCTCCCAGCCAGGACCCCGCCGCTGTCCCCGGGGCTGTCCGCCGCGCCTGTCCCCGCAGCGCCGCCCGCTGCCCACTCCAACCTGCTCCGGAGCGGCCCCGTGGACAGAGAACGCACCGGTCCTGCAGGTGGGCTGCCTCTGTCCGTCGGCGGGGTTCAGGAAAGCAGACGCTACTGGGCCTTGGATCAGGCAGCTACCAGGGCAGCCTCAGAGGCGAGGGGGCGGGGAACGGCAGAGGCAGGGCGCCCGGGCCCGCGCGGGAGGGGGATGGGGCGGAGGCCCCGCGCGAGCGCGTCACGGACAGGGCGGGGCGTTGGCGCGTGCCTGGGGCGACTGGGCGCGGTGGCGCCCCACCGGGGTCGTGTGCATCCCTCCGTCTCTCTCCGTGCTGGTGCGGGTCTCCCCCAGAAACAAGCGCCCGAAAAGGGCGCCTGCGGGGTGACAGCTGAGCGTTACCCACGTCCACCCTAAGCTAGCGCAGCCAGCGCTTCTGAGGGACTGCGTCTATTTCCCAGCCCTGGCAGAACAAACGGGGCACAGGGGCGCCACCTCCAGCCCCTCGCGCCCTTCGGCCCTCGTTTCCTGCCTTGGTGTGACTGCCTCGCTGGACTGGGTTGTGTGCTTGAGAGGTGGGCGGGTCCCAGCGTGGCCCACCCCTTTCCACTTGGCCTTAGGCTTTCTCTACCGCGGCTCCTCCCCTCTCGGGCATGGCACTGCTTCACACACGCACGGAGCCGGAACTTGCAGAGGCCAGCCTGCTCCAGGCCCAACCTCCTCTGGATTATGGGACTGGAGAAAATGTGGAATCATGCTGAGCAGGCGTTAGAATGCTGCACCCAAGTTCCCCGGGTGTGCCGGAAGGGTGTCAGAGCTGTTAGATAAAATGTAGAGGAGGCCGGGCGCAGTGGCTCACGCCTGTAATCCCAGCACTTTGGGAGGCCGAGGCGGGTGGATCACGAGATCAAGAGATCGAGACCATCCTGGTCAACATGGTGAAACCCCGTCTCTACTAAAAACACAAAAAATTAGCTGGGCATGGTGGCGCGTGCCTGTAATCCCAGCTACTCAGGAGGCTGAGGCAGGAGAATTGCCTGAACCCAGGAGGCGGAGGTTGCGGTGAGCCGAGATCGCGCCATTGCACTCCAGCCTGGGTAACAGGAGTGAAACTCCTTCTCAAAAAAAAAAAAAAAAAAAAAAAATGTAGAGGAGGTCGTTAGTTCTGAGCTCCTGCATTAGGCTCAAACCAAATCAAAATGGAGTTATTCATGCTGAAGTTCCACACCACCACGCCAAAGCTAAGATCTTTATCTGACCTTCCAAGAAATCCGGGGAGAGAGATGCTAACCATATCCCCAAACAGGCTGGGCGTGATGGCTCACGTCTGTAATATCAGCACTTTGGGATGCCGAGGTGGGTGGATCGCCTGAGCTTAGGAGTTACAGACCAGCCTAGGTATAATGATACCCTGTCTCTACCAAAAAAATAAAAAAGAGAGAGAGAGAGAGAGAGAGAGAGAGAGAGAGAGAAGAAAAAGTTAGCCAGGTGTGTTGGCCGGCGCCTGTAGTCCCAGCTACTTGGGAGGCTGAGGAGGGAAGATCACTTGAGCCTGGGAGGTTGAGGCTGTAGTAAGCTTAGATCGTGCCTCTACTTACTGCACTCCAGCCTAGGCGCTAGAAAGAGACCCTGGCTCAAAAATCCCCAAGCAGGCCAGTTTTAGCTGGCATGAAGAAGTCCCCTGTTCTTTAATTTTTACAAGAAAAGTAACTTCGTACCAACCAATCCACTTTTTGTTTCTGCTTTCCTGGGCCCTTTTCTGTCTGTAACCGTAAAACCAACTTCTGCTTCTCATCGGAACACTCATTCCATTTTACAGAATGAAGCATTGCCCAATTGTAGAATTGGAACTAAAAGCCAGTTAAGATGTTTAAACTAAATTCGTTGTAATTTTTCTGTTTTAACAGAGCCAAAGGAAGAAGATAAAATGAGCAGTCTAATGAAATAGAAATGAGTTCAATTGGAACTCCCAAAGCAATCACGTATCTCAGGAATTTAGCCAGTATACCTATTTTTTTCTCTTTTATTTTTCCAGGTGACAACTTCACTGCTAGCATACAGTTTTTTAATCTATAAAATGACAAATGGGCTGGGCGTGGTGGCTCTCACCTGTAATCTCAGCACTTTGGGAGGCGGAGGCAGGCGGATCACCTGAGGTCAGGAGTTCAAGACCAGCCTGGCCAACATGGTGAAACCCTGTCTTTAAAAAAAAAAAAGAAAAATATATAACAAATGAAATGAAGCGACCTTTAATAGCCATCAGCCATAGACTGTGAGCAAAGCATTTCCCCCCATTGACTTTGTCTGCCTCTGAAAGCTATGTCTGCTCAAATGCTCTCAAGATTCTTTTTACCCTCCTCCTAAACCAGAAAAGGATGATTCGATGAGCTTCCACTTCAAAACCCAGATTAAAGCTGCAGCCCGGAAAGGTTTCCCTCCCATGAGCAAGCCCGGCCAGCAGTCTTGCCTGGTCATGACTGGGCTTACTCATGTTGCAAAAGGGTCGTGACTAGGCTTACTTACTAGCAGAATTTACTTCTAAGAGATCAGGCACCAGAAGCTCTCATTCATTCCTTCATTCGAGCTCAGACAGGTCTGTTTGCAATCATCCTGACTCTTCTGGGAAATGGCATGGTATATTTGATGTTATTGTGAGGCTAATAACAAAGACCAGCATTTCCATCCTCACTGCACCACAGCACACTACCTCCCCGAAATACCCAGTCTGATAAATTAGTCACCTCCACTATCTGCAGTAGGGCTTATTCACAGTGTGAATTATCTGTAGCAATTTTTAGCCCCCAAAACTTCACTTTCTCTGAGGCTTCACCTTCTGCAAACCCAAGGAATGTACAATATCTAATGACCAGGGGAAGAAGATCTGTGGCTAAACAAGTAGTCGTGGCAATTTTTTCAAGAGCTGGATTCAGTAAATAAATCTGAGTGCTTACATCCAAAGTCCTTTAGACCAAAGCTGCGTTAGTAGGTAGTTACTACCTACCACAAGCAACTACTTTCTGTCATCTACAGGGTAAGCAACGTCCATTGAGACACAGTCCCTACTCTCAAGGCACTTATAGTCAAGTGTGTGTAAAGGTGTCAAGAGGCTGGGCGTGGTGACTCACGCTTGTAATCCCAGGACTTTGGGAGGCCGAGGTGGGTGGATCACGAGGTCAAGAGATCGAGACCATCCTGGTCAACATGGTGAAACCCTGTCTCTACTAAAAATACAAAAATTGGCCGGGCGCGGTGGCTCAAGCCTGTAATCCCAGCACTTTGGGAGGCCGAGGCGGGTGGATCACAAGGTCGAGAGATCGAGACCAACCTGGTCAACATGGTGAAACCCCGTCTCTACTAAAAAAAAATACAAAAAATTAGCTGGGCATGGTGGCGCGTGCCTATAATCCCAGCTACTCAGGAGGCTGAGGCAGGAGAATTGCCTGAACCCAGGAGGCGGAGGTTGCGGTGAGCCGAGATCGTGCCATTGCACTCCAGCCTGGGTAACAAGAGCGAAACTCCGTCTCAAAAAAAAAAAAAAAATACAAAAATTAGCCGGGCATGGGAGGCTGAGGCAGGAGAATTGCTTGAACTCGGGAGCCGGAGGTTGCGGTGAGCAGAGATCTCGCCACTGCACTCCAGCCTGGGTAACAAGGGCAAAAGTTCATCTCAAAAAAAAAAAGATGTCAAGAATGGGGGAGGATCCAAAATTTTACCCTACTTGCAAGCTATCAAGTTAGCTAGCCATAGTTTCAGAGGCTCACAGATGCTGTCAGAAGGCATGAGACATATGGGTCAAGGACAAAAGATTCTTCTTATTTGTGGCACAGCAGGCAGTGTAAGCTTCACATTTGCCTCAGTTCCCTTGCCCTCTGCATCCCACAGAGGTCATGCAGAGCAGCTTGTGTGGATGCTGTGCACACCATGCATTGATGTCACAGCTAAGGAACCCTAAGTTTACAAAAGCACCAGTCTTAGAAGGAGCTGCTGACAAATCTGCCCAACCTTGATCCTGTGAAAGGAAAGTATCCTGGACTCCCAGGATCATTAAGCTAAAGGGAAAATTCAAGCTGGAAACTGCCTGTGGCAAACCTGCCTCCCATTCTATTCAAAGTCATCCTTCCGCTCACTGAGATAAATCCATATCTAACTGCCTCCTTTGGAAAGGCTAATCAGAAAATGCAACCATTTGTCTCTCACCTACCTGTGACCTGGAAGCCCTCTTCCCCACTTCCAGTTGTCCTGCCTTTCCATGCCAAACCAATGTTTATTTTACATAGTTGATTGATGTCTTCCTGTCTCCCTAAAAATGTGTAAAACCAAGCTGTGCTCTGACCACCTTGGGCACATGTCATCAGGACCTCCTGAGGCTGTGTCACGGGTAAGTGTCCTCAACTTTGGCAAAATAAACAAATAAACTTTATTTTTTTTTTTTTGAAACAAAGTTTTGCTCTTGTTGCCCAGGCTGGAGTGCAATGGGTGATCTCCACTCACTGCAACCTCCGCCTCCTGGGTTCAAGTGATTCTCCTGCCTCAGCCTCCCAAGTAGCTGGGATTACAGGCGTGCCACCACCATGCCCGACTAATTTTTGTATTTTTAGTAGAGACAGGGTTTCACCATGTTGGTAGGGTTGGTCTCAAACTCCTGACCTCAGGTGATCCTCCTACCTTCGCCTCCCAAAGTGCTGGGATTACAGGTGTAAGCCACCACGCCCGGCCTATAATTTTTTTAAATTTTATTTTAAGTTCCAGGATACATGTGCAGGACATGCAGGTTTGTTACATAGGTAAACAAGCATTTTATTAGGGACTGGCATGTCTAGGTGGTTCTGGCTCAGAGCCCCTCAGGAGGTTGCAGTTGAGATGTCAAGGCTGGGGCTGCAATCGTCTGAAGGGTTAATGGCACTCCAGGACCTGCTTTCAGGATGGTGCCCTCACATGGCTTTTGGCAGGAGACCTCAGTTCCTTGCCCTGTGCTTCTCTTTGCGGCTGCTTGGGTGTCCTTGTGACATGGCCGCTGGCTTCTCTCAGAGCAAGTGATCCAAAGGAGACACTGAAGCCACAATGTCTTATATGATCCAGGCTCAGAAATCACACTATCATTTCTGCCTTATTCTATTTGTTAGAATTGAGTTACTAAGACCAGACCACACTCAAGGGGAGGGAAATTAGGGTC